AAAGATTTTAATTAGCTCTAATTAGGCCACCAGGCTACATCTAACAGTATGGGTCCCCCACCCCACCCTCTTAGCCCCATCAGGTCTATTTTTTTTTTTTTTACTTATGTCTTCTATCGTCAGAAGAAAGGATGAGCCAAGCTGCAGTGAAATAGCTCAGCTGACATTAAAGACTGGGAAAACAGGCCCAGAGAGGTTAAGTGACATATCAGAAGACACACCAGAGACTTTTGATAGAATAAATTCAGAACTCCTAACTTCTTACAGTATTCTTTCTTTGAAGTCTCCAGTCCACTTATTTCCCATACAGAGAATGACAGTGGGCAGGCGCCAGGAACTCAGCCTGTGAGATGAAGTCTAAGCTGCATGACCTTCTCTGTTCTCCAAGGACTAGACTAAAATAGCTTGCATTTCCAACTCCTGTCCCACCCAACACTCACTCTGATTATATAAAGCCTTTAGAGAATCAGGGAAATAGCAAAAGCTGAAGCCTTTGGGATACTGTGGTTGAATCATACAAAGGAAGTCATACAAGGAAGTCCTTTGAGTCATGTCTGAACCATTACGGAAAAATCTGGTTCAACCGCCAGGGTGTCGCTCTCATGGACTCTGGTGAGAAGATGCGCACAGGATTATGTAATGAGCCCATAAACCCCTAGAGCTTGCCCCACCGTGCCACTGCTCTGCCCTGTAATTCTGTGGAACCCTCCAACCCCTCCGTTCATAATTATTCCCTGATTGCAAGTTTCAAGTCATGATGCCAAGTGGATCTGTGGGCGCAGTACAGGAGAACCACAGCTGGAGGATGGAAGAAAGTAGAGAAAAATGTCTCAGGTGAATATGTAAAATAGAAAATCTCTATTGAACACCATCATGCCACCTTCTAAACATTTCTTATATCTTTCATTCTGTCCTCCAACATCCTCCATTTTTTAAAGATTTATTTATTGATACATACAGAACTGGGGTACAGACCAGAGGTACAGGGGTAGTGAGAGAATCCACCAGAGACAGAGTGGGGAGCAGAAAAGACAGATCTACAAAGTACAATGCTGAGGGGAGCAGCAGGTGGGTCAGGAGAGGTCTGCTGCGCCATGTGGGTCACAGGGTGGGGGGGTGTTGGGGAGCAAACTCACACTGAAGTGGCTGCGTCCACTGAAGCGGCTGCATCCTAACCTTTGCGCCATCAGGGAGGGACCCCTCCTCCATTTTACACCTAAATGAGAGCCTGTGAAAACCAGGTAGTTGACTTAAGCTCATTCAGCTGGTAAGAGGAGACCACCTTGAAAGTTAGGTTATACTTCAGAACTCCTATCACAGATCACCCTAAATCAGGAACTCGAAGTGTCTGCTTTAGGATTTAGCCATCTTCCCAAGTTGGAGAAAAGAGGGGAAGAGTGAGGAATATCAGATATCTCTCTTCTTCCCCAAGTGATTAGGATGGGATCTGAAGGACAGGGGTGTAGTGAGATGCATCTGGGGTGTTCTCAGTTTCTTCCTGTCCTTAGCCCATAACTTGACTCTAGTCCCAAGCATCTATCCAGTGAGTGAGAAATGAGAGCTTAAGCACATCCATTGGGTCAATGCCTGGAACAGATCAGGGACTCTAGAATGAAAATTATTATTATTATAGCTCATGTTTTTGATTAGGAATGATGCCAACTCTTTTATACATGTTAACTTATTTAACCCCAACATCAACCCTGTGAAGTATTGCAATCCCCATTTTGTGGCTTACTGGGCACAGAGAATTAGACAGGTTGCCCAAGACCACAGTCTGTGAGAAGCAGGGCCTGGATTTGAACCCTGCCACCTTGGACATCTCCCCAGCTCCTTGGCCTTCTCTCAGGCTCATCTGGATCTCCCTGACCTCAGACATCTGGAGAAACTCCCAGCCTCCCCTCCATATCCTCTCCTACTCCCCACCCTGCCACCTCCCTCCCCGAAGCCCAGTGGTAGGTATAAGGAAAGTTCACAGCAAAGAAACCTGCACTACAAGTAAAAAAGAGATTCAGGGTTTTTTAAATCTCTTTTACTTTTCCCTCTGTCCAGTAGATCAAAGGGCCTCATGTGGGGAGAACAAATGCTGGAGGAAAAGGCAGTGAAAGAGGAAAAGTTCACACTTGGGGCTGAGAAACAGATGGTGCAGAGGGTCTGGTGGGGTAGAGGCTTGACTGCACACCCCAAGGCAGTGGAGGAGGGGTCCCAAGATGCTCCTCTGAAACCCCACAAAGTTTCAAGGGCCTTGAGAATTCTCCCTCTTGTGAAGTACCAAGAAAAAAATTCTCTCTGATATTTTATATTCAAATCAGGAGGGCTTTGTTTTGTTGCTGTTGTTGTTTGAGACCTGGTAAGTGGAGATGTGGAGGTGGAGAGCTTCCAAATTTTGCAGAAAATGCACTTTCAGATCTCTTGGTAAATAGAACCCCACCTCCTTCCTTAAAGGGCTGTGAAAAACAACCTAATTGAAGGGCATGGAAAAGTCTATGAGGGAAGCAGTTTGGCATCTGTTCTGGAAAGTTTAGCAATAAAGACCATCAATTTACTGTAACAGCAGCAAAATGTGTGTTTGTTTGCTTGCCCTACCACCCTTTGTCATTTATGATAGGGAAATACAAAGTGAAAATATACAGATCTTCCCTTCCTTTAAATAAATGGGGCCTGGGGTTCTAAGTGGGATTTGAAGAGTGCAAAATGGGAAAGAGGTCAGGATCTTTGCATCTGAGTAGAGGGGAGGCTCAGATGTAGTGTGGTTGTTTTGAGCCTGTGAGAACAGAAAATTGATTTGCCCCTCACCATTCCCTGGGGGAATCTGATGATTCCTCCTGCTAGGACCAAAAATCAACCAGTCCCTTCCATCTTCATTCCCCCAGGACCTGTCAACCCCAGCTCCACCTTCGGTTGGCCCAGTTCTAACCACTGCTCTCTCCTCTCTGCTTTCCTGCACGCCCCAAAGGCTGGAGGATCCACAAACAAACCGTCCAGAAAGCTCCCCCAGCTTGCATCCCACAACTCCACTCCGAGCAAGGGGAGTTTTGTTTCCACTGGTGCTCACTCCTCCCCTCTGTCAAGGTGAAACTCTTGGGGAAGCCAACCTCGGTGGCAATTTCGATTAAATGCAGAAAAGCAGGTTTTTTGTTTTTTGTGGTTTTTTTGGTTTTTGGTTTTTAAGACAAGGCGCTGGACAGCAGGCTCTAGGAAGCTTGGCTTCCTCTAGCAACAAGATTTTCTTCCTCTCCAGCTGGGCGGTGAAATTATGAAGACCACTCCTATAAAGGCACCAATTTCACTAGGAAGGAAATGCTGTTTCTTACATAAACTCTTAGTCTTTTCAACATCCTCTGTTCCATTGAAATTTCAAGAATTAAATAGCAGGGTGGATAAGACTCCCCACCCCCACCCCAGGTCCCGCTGCTCACCCCTGAGGGTGGCTGCCCCGGCTCCTGGGGCGGTTGGGCTCCCGGGTAATCGAGCCCACAGGCCCGTGGCATCTCTATGGCACCGCGGGCAAGTGAAAGGGCGGTCTGTGGGCCGTCGCCCAGCTTCCTGAGGCTGCCCCCCACTCCAACCCACCAAAGGTTTGTCAGTGGGACCCGCCAGGAGACAATAGCTGGCCCCGCAGGAGCGCGGTGGGCTTGTTTGG